CTTGCATAATTTATTTGTCGTGAAAGTACCGCTTCCCAGGTACGTCACAATATATAGTAAGTGTATATATACACATATATATATACACTTACTATTTCTAGAGGGGCTTCAAACAATAGTATATTCACTTCAAAAAACTGAATGAAAATGTATAATAAGCTGCTTAAAATTGCAGTAAGGAATGGAATCTTATGTTGAAACTATAATTGAAAAACCATGTTATAGCCTGTGTGTTCCAAAATTACTTTTTTAGTGTAATAATTAATCGTGAATGATCAATATTTATCTTTCTCCATTTCTTCAATCGCATCACTGTAATTACAGAATATCAGAAAGACTCAATTAACTCTATCTAAAAAAAAAAGTTTGTGAAGCATAATGTTAGCGCGCCAATGATCATTACTGTACGAATTAATGATATGATATGTGTGGCATTTGTTAAAATGGTTGCACTGAAATGGCACAGGACTGAGAGATAACAGTGACTGACAATACTTCGGAACAATTAAATGCCACTTACGCAGTCTGGCTCCTTATCTCGTATTGTGCAAGTTATGGTGGTTCACGACCTAGCCACATATTATGTAATTTTCTTTCATTATTTTATTTCACATTCCTTTTTCCCAACATACACTTAGATTCGTGCGTATTATAAATAAAAACATTACGTTACAACCCCTGCTTAATACTGATTACAGCCTTGATATTTCATTACTCTCGCCTTTTTTTAAATTTTACTTAATTTATCAAATTATCACATATCGATCGCATTATATACAAAGGAGCATTCCTATTATTAATGACGAATTTTATTTCGAACTTACATTACAAAATTTTATTTGAAATACAGATGCTTTCTTGATGCCTCTTGTGTAGGCTCAAGTAAACGTAAAAAATTTAACAAAGTGATCACAGGAAGTGTTTCTGGTGTTTCCATCCGCATACCATCAGTCTTTCCATTCTGGTTTTATCTTGGCTACCTTATCCATGAAGATTTTCATACACCTCAATTACTTCTGCAACATTTCAGAACAGTCGCCTTTCATTGCTAAAATCGTGACTTCATCATTAAAGAATGTCTTCGTCGTAATGCAACCTCTCGACTAGCATCCTAGTTGCTCAGGAAACATTCCCACCAGATAGCCATTACCAGATGGACTCGGGACTCCTATTTGCCAGCGCTAAATATTCACGATGTGAACATTTTTCACTCCAAATCATACATATTCCCCTCAATTAAGACAAGAACGACCATGACATTCAGAGTTTAGAGACCATTAGCAAAGTGTTACTCGTGCACTGTCTTGATCGCTACAAGGTGCGCCGAGTACTCGTAATTGCAGTTGATTAGCCGTCGTTTAATTAGCGTGCCTCGCTCAAGTAGCAAATAAAATTACCATTAACTGCCGCTGTACAAATAATGGAAGCTAGTTGCGTAGATATGCAGGCATGCACAGAGGCTCATTGCTATGCAGGCCTCGCGAATTGTACGCGTAGCGAGAGCACGGACGTAAGTTCCTTTCTTTACGACTATTCGTCACTTTCCATTCTCTCTACGGAACACGGAGCGGGGGGGGGGGAGACGGGTGAGACACACAGGACTTGGGTGGAGTGGGCGGCACGGGGTGACAGTGAAATTCGATATTCCGACTCGTAAAGTCTAAGTTATGTCACGAGAAGGGCGACTGAGAACTTAGTTCACTTCCGCGAATAAATGTTTGCGATGCACGTCACGGCTCAATTACTGGAAGGAAATGCAAACTCGGAACATATGTTAGCATATGCACTTGTTTTGTGACTGTAAGTTTTTACCAACTTTATTTATTACGCCTGTTCGCCTCGCAGCCATATACGGTACATTTTAAATTGGGATAACGCGGGTCCTCCCACAACACGCACTTATTGTAAGGCGTCTTATTTTCTTATTTGTCTTCTCCTTATTTTCTCATTTAAAAAAATATAGCATTCTGTTGTGCACACTGATCATATATTTTCTATAAAAATGACCTGTCAGGATCCTTCTAATTGTTACTGATACACCGACTTTTAAACTTTATAATCTCATGAAAAACAAACACAGACAATAACACATAAATACCCCCAAACGCAAAACAGAACACTCTAACATCTAACTACTTAATAACGTAGGAAAATTTAGTTTCACCATTACTTTATGGCAATGAAGGCCTCCCCCCCGACAACTTCTGAAATCATACTTTGACACTAAGGTGTAACTTATTTTTCGACCTCAAAATTTTTTAACGCATACCAGCTAAATATTTTTGAAGTACTGTAAAACAAGCTACCGAAAACATTCTTAGTAATTCTTAGCATTTTACCCCTTGCTGACTGAAGCGTGAATATCCAAGATGGAATATGACAAGCCGAGGCCGCTAGGCATATGCCTCGTACGGTTGAACACTGTGAGACTTATCGAGAGGTATTTCAGTTCTTTTATGTCATTCGGCGAACTAACGTGTCTCTCGGCAGTTAATTTTATTTCAGTACCATTACTATTCAAGTGTTCAATAATGTCGCTAGAATTATGAATTGATCAAGAACGTGTAAATGATCGGAGACGTAATGTTTCAAATAAATCAAAACAACTTGGCGTCAAACGTGATGTTTTAGTTTACAATTTAAGGCACGTAAAACTACGTATCACTGACGGTGAAAAATATAATAATTCGGAAATAAAAATATAGTAGTAATTTGAGAAAAGGCGAGAATTCTGAGAAGATCGCTTCGTAATTGCACAAAAAATTGAGCTTAATTCGACTTGAAAATTATTAATCTTCAACACAATTTAATCTTCAGACGTTTGTTTCTACGCCTTCGACTGCAACTCTTAGTCTTATCAAATGTAATACGTCTAGAGCTTATGGGCAAAAAGACAAAAACAATTGGTTTAATAAAGCGTTTAATAAACGAGAAGGCACTGGTATCTGGAAACCGGAGTTTTACCCAAATATCTTAAATATATATGTCGCCAAACAATGTTTCCCCTATTTTTTCGTTCAATGTACTTATTAACGAATGAATAGAAAACACATTCACTCCAAAAATGTATTGTGAGAGAACATCTGTACTTCAAAAAATTACTGCATTCTCATTTCTTACAAATCACTTCAAATTTGCATCTGCGACGATATTACGGCTACTTCATGAGGAATGTGGGATGCTTTGTAATTGGAGTAACGTAAAAAATTAGTATATTCCCTAAACTGGCTTAGAGTCCCGATAACGATTATAATGCGCAACTATTTTCATTTGATGTAAAAGATGATATGAAAATAAAATTATTATCCTTTAGTAGAGAGTACTTATTGAGAATGCATTGAACTAATTCCGAAACAAATACCCATTTGTTACCTAGTGGAGAACCAGATATTTCAAAACCAACATCATATTTTTCTTCAGATAGTTGTTGAGAATCAGGAGTAGACAATCGATTAGTCAATTGATTTACCCAATGACCTAATTGATTACCGGACGTTAACAGCATCAATAGATGCGCGCAGTCCAAACAAAACACAACGTAGGAGGTCACAATACATTTCCTCGACTTTCTTCCTCCATTAGCACAAACATCCAATACTACTTCTCCACCGCCAACGCCATAGATCTGCATTGCATCAGTCTCCTCCCCACCTCCCCTTCTCCTCCCATTGATCCGTTGCGAGTTGTTCGTTCGGGACCTCCGCTCCGCCACTTTCTTACCCATAAATCCCGCCCGAGAAATTACAAGTGTGGGATATCACACGTGATATATATTCCCGCCGCGGGCAGGTCGCCCCACATTCTGCAGCGGAAATAATGATGGTCATTTACTTAACAATATATGGACAGCCGACGCTCGCACTGAAAGACAAAAGTGTAATGAATTATCCGCTGCGGTGCTTAGCACGTCGAACCCGATCCGCGGACGAGTGACAACGGTGTGGGAAGGGATTCGGGGGCCGCCAGCCGAAAGGTGGTAATCGCGAGGTGGTCTAGGACCGCTGGCGGGACGCGGCGGCCTGCCTCTGGCGGACAGTGGTTTGCTACGCGTGGGAGGTGGGCGGTCAGACGTTACGTTGCGAGGTGTCTATGATACGCCGGGCTGAGTTCGGGTAATATCTCATTGTTCACTGGGTGTACAATATTGCAATCAGATTACTAAAGAGCAAAGGCCTGAGAAATGCGGCGTTTGACAGAGCGTGAAATAAGTTGGCGTCGCCTTTTACATGCGTGCGTACGAAATGAGAAATGTTGAGTCGCTTAATAATACGGAGAACAGAAGAAGCCATTTTGCAGTTGTGAGAGAATCATCCGAGCAAGTTCGAAACAACTAATACACCATGAATACCTTCCCGTCATTTTAGAATCATTTCGAAATTTTGGGTTTGTGTACCCAAATCGTATAATTTAAATGTATTTTTCGTTGTATGAGTTTGGTGTCAAGATATTACAAATAATAATAATAAACTGATTGTTCTAAAATTTATTGGAATAGGTTTATTACATTGAACATATTGAAGCTTGCTTTTTGGAGAACAAAAACGTTTGTCCATGGACGGGTGCCCTCGTTCTCATATCATTCCGATCTCATATGCTCATATCAGTTCTGTAAAGCCAGCAACAATGGAATGCACTAATTCTTGGAAAGACACAGAGCGTCATTCAAGTAATAAAACAACGCAGGGAATGAAAATATTGGAAACTTCAAAGGTTGAATGAGATTGGTACAACGCCGATCCTGAACAATATCTTGTTTGGATGTGGAAATAATTACTGCCAGAGACAGCTTGTAATATTTTTTCGAGAAAAGTGAACGTCTTAGGAATCAGGAACACTAAAATTCTATATTTACATCAAAATATTGAAAGCGAAATTTTTCATCATTACATAACGTTCTCTCTACTACATATGAGTAAATAAAAATGACCTGCACAAACCGGAAACTTAACTAACAGGGAAGTTTCGGTTAAGTCTAATCCAAGTTATCGCCATGGTCACAAGCGTGGTTCGTGAGCTAATTACAAAACATTTGTTTTCGACATTTGTTTTCAGTGTCAGGCGCTGTGTGAAGATCGGCAGCATTCCTCTAACAATTTATTTATCACATGTACAGTACTTGTGACAAAAATTGATTTCAGGGAAGTTTTCTGCTTTACAAATTAGTCATAGCATAAATGACACGTTAAATGCATTATTTCGATTCACAAATAACATTATAAATAAAATAATTTAAATGAAATGGTGAATATTTGGAAACACTCTAAAGGACTCTCTGTTTAAGGAAACGTTCCTTTTTTTGACAGGTTTTCTTATTCGTAGTGTCAGTTATGATTAGCAAGCTTCCTATCCAATAAGCTTCTGCAAGGGTATCAAAAGACTCCCTACAAACGAAATCAACATGTAACAAATCCCGGAGTGTGGCAACAGCCAGGCGGTGACGGAGGGGGAGACTTCGGAGATGCGGATAGAAGCGATGGAAGAGGCACAGTATGAAGAGGTAGGCGTAGGTGGAGGTGGAGGTGGAGTAGGTGGAGTCAGGGTTGGGGCAGGAGTGTGGTCGAGGTAGAATGTGGGCGAGGTCGGAGGAAGGAGAGGAAGAAGGCAACAATGATAGTGTCAGCATAGACGGGAGTGGCGGTGGCAGATGGCGGAGGCGGACGCGAAGGCGGTGACGATGACGGTGACAATGACGAGGACGATGACGAGGACGATGACGATGACGGTGATGGTGACGATGACAGTGACGGTGACGGTGACGATGGCGGTGACGATGGCGGTGACGATGGCGGTGACGACGATGGCGGTGACGATGATGACGGTGACGATGACAATGATGGTGGCGGTGGCAGCAGTAGTGGTGGTGGTGGCGGCGATGGTGGCGGTGGTGGTGGCAGTGACTGCAGTGACGGCGGCGGTAGCAGTGACAGCGGTGGAGGCGGCGATGGCGGCGGCGGCGGCAATGGCGGCGGAGCAGTGGCGGCGGCGGTTGTGCAGCGATGGCGGCAGGAGAATTGGAGGATGCGACGTCGGCGGAGACGGCGGTTGCGGCCAGAGCGGCAACGACGAGAGCGCCTGCTCGGGCGCGGAGGAGGCGTTGGGGGAGGGGTGTTGGTGGGGATGGCTAGGGCGGCGGGGGCGGACTCGAGGGAGCGGCAGCAGTAGCATTGCTCTCGCAACGCAGGCATTCCGTAGCCTTGTTATGGCAGCCTCCGCCCCAGCGCATTCGAATCGCTTCGATTACCGACGGCTAATGAAGCGTGTTGACCTGGTAATGACACGCTTAACGCCCTGTTAAGTCGCCGCTAGATAGCACTGCGCCTGCCTCGCGTTCCCCGCTTCCGGCATGGCTGCCGGAGCAAGACGCTTCAAACTTGCAAAACGTAAGCCAAAGCTTCGACATCAGCGTTTTTGCGAGTTAGGTGAGGATTAAAATTACTAAATGATGTTCTTGTTTTTGCAATACGGAGATCTTCAAAATGAAGTACGATTGTAAAGTTCCTGCGTCGTTATAAATCTACAAGTTTTTAATCTTACCATAACGTACTTTACGACATCAATTTAACCCCTTTTTTGGGGTGCATGTAAATGAAAACTGAATCTGATTATTTTCACTTTGAATCACAAAATTTTTCAATAAAATCGGGAGTTTCGAGTAAAACAGCAACTAACTTTAAACAATTTTGTCAACAACAAAAAATCGACATGTGTCACGCTGAAGAGTGCTATTATATGTCATTTTTATTCCTATTTAAACCTGTTAAGGAATGAAAATATTCATTGAGAAGTAAAAATATTAATGTAGGTCCTAGTTACTCGACGTTTTAACGTAATTAACATAAAATCCTCAATACGATGAAATCTATTTTATTGTCTTCAAACTGCAGGGATCTCCAGGTCCAGGATCCCTGTGCATTGTCCCTGATTCCCTGATGGTACTTACGGCGGTGAATAGAAGTGTTTCCGGGACGGCCTTCAGTGTACGGAACTTCCAACTCGTCACCGTGTTATCAAGCAACACTTAGATAACAGCACTTTCAGAAGTGCACAGAGAGTAAAATAGGGCATTTTACGAACATCTAAAGGGTTTGGAGAACGCGTAATAACTACTAAATTGCATTTGTGAGTCAACAACAATAGGCCAGAGTTGAAAAGTCAGAAGAGTTAAGCAATGCATTTAACTTATGCGAGCGACTATTTATAGACTAAAATATGTTGTTTTTCTTTCTTGAAGTAGCGTTTTAAAAGAGATCCAGAAAATGGTTCAAAGACACGCAAAAGCGATTCGGAGAGAAGTATTTCACCTGTAACAAGCAGCACACGACATGAGTACTTAAATTTCATGCTTCAGCCAACGAAATGTCTTGAATTGCAGAGACGAAAGATTCCAAAAGCCCATCGACCATGCAATTATTGAATTTCATATCACCGAACTCGTGGTTCACCTTTGCAGAGAAAGGAATCGTTTATTGCGAGACTTGATTAGTACTTGAAGCATTAAAACAGCGCTTTCCGCCCGCCGGTAATACAAATCTTCGTGAATCACTTATCGTAAAAACAAGATCTTTCTATGTATGGAATATAAACTGACGCAAAAGAGAGTGGGTTTTCTGGAGAGTAAAAATGTGACTTGAATCATCGTTACAAATGCTCCGTAATTACGGAGATACCTGTCATGAATTCCACATGACGTCGTTCTTGACACTATGATCAACAACAATAACTATCTAAAGACCTTCGAAACCTTGATTCATATTTTTGCATTACTTACTTTCATGATGTAAAATGCATTCCATTCCTCTGGCAAACCGAAGGAAAATCTGCAAAACAAAAATCAAAACAAATTATCAATAATTGACTTCTTTATTTTGGCGATACGATTTTAATGGATCTTGAAACACACAAAACGAATTTTGAAGAATATTTTAAATATTACATTGTACTGTTTCTCACATTTATCAGCTTTCACATTTATCTCACACTTATCATTTATCAGCTTTCTGTGAAGGATAAACACTAAACTATTTTAATGATGTGTCCCGAAAGGCGAAATTTATTAAGTTGAAATGCTTGTTAGTTCTATCGAGCTGGACTAAGACGTCTAACATAACAGAAGTAAAGTATTGGAATATTTGTAACCTCTTTCTCAAACCTCTTAGTTCGTAATATTATTGGAGTGAAGAGCTTTTGCAAAGTGAACTAGCAGGAAATATTATGAATCACAATCTGTGAGGTCCTTTTAACTGGTTTGGGGATATTCAATTGTCTACTAATTCAAAATATGTACTTAGCAGTTGCCTTCGTTCTCTACAAATTTGACAATACTTATCACTATTAATCGAACGTTCGTCTGTACGTGCATTTGCAGAAAGATAAAATAATTTTACACAAAAAGAATGATATATTTTAATAATACAAACCATTTGTTCAAAGCTACAAAATGTGCTACGGATTTGCAACTTATGAATTGTAAGAAAAATAGCAAAAGCAAGAAATATCATAGCATGATCTTACATCCAAATAGGCGCTTTTTATCCCATAGCGGGACAGATCTGTTTAAAGACTGAAGGTCCCCGAGTTGCAGGTTCGGTTCCGAGAACTCCCCCCTCCCACACACACAAATGTTTTGACAACCTGATCGCGTTCATCAAATTGCGCGTATGGTTTCATTTCCCTATTCTTACTACATCTTTAGATTTCCAACTAGTAATGAGTAAAGAATCGAGAAATCTGATTTTCTGTTTTCAGGGCTAATTCTTAACGTCCTGTTTCTAAAGCTAGCAGAAAGACCAACGCCTCTAGGCTGCTGACCTTGAATTCGTGCCACCTTAATTCGGCCCCGCCTCTACTACATTATTTATTAATTTACTCACGTCCTGTTCATAATATAGAAGTACACCCACAAGGAAATGCACTTATAAATTAGTTGAATAACAATTCAGGATGTAATTATCTGATTTTAATGAGAAGGCATAAGTCACAACGTATATTATTGCGTTGTTTGTTGGAGCCATGTAGCAGGAGCGTTTGCAGAGTGTTCAAAATTGGTAGAACTCTGTTCGCTTGCCTCGAATGATGCATATTCCAGTTTCAAGCCACAGCATGGATGTGAATGACAAAGAGATGATAATGGTGAGGTAAAGAGCAATGAAAAATCTACCCAAGACAGCAGGTACGTATGTTCAAAATGCGAAAGGAATTGGAATCTGATTTATCCAACACAAATTCCATACGGTCTCATTTTAGTAAATTTTCGTCTTATGAGATATTTTAGCGCAGGTAGGCAAGAGGGCAGCTAGTGATTGAACAACTGAAACGATTGAGCAACTGTGAAACAAAGTAAGGAAAATCATAAAATTTCTGGAAAAAACTGGTTTATTCGTTATTGAGAACAAAACGGGAGATGAGAATTCAATCTAATTACTCAGATCACCGGTCGCGTAAACAATTAAGATCAGTATTCCCGTACGTGTGGTGCGTGTTTTTATTCCGAGAGATGTGTTTTAATCCTTCCCATATTAACTCACGAGATTCGGCGCCGGCCTACATCGCCTTGTAGAGATTTTCCCAAATAGGTATCTCCCACCAGCGTGGCACAGCCCCAGCCAGGACAAGCTCTATCTCCTGAATGGTCTCCGAACAAATGTGGCAGTGTAGAGCATGTGTGTGTAAGTGATGGAGATAGATAAGAGGAAGAGGATAGACGTAAGAGGAAGAGAAGACAGTGACCCGTTTATTCGAGTACAGCTCCAGCATTCGCTAGGCGTTGTTCAGAGAAACCGCCGATCAGAGCAGCCGAATGATAGACTTCTCCTCCCGTCAGCGTCTGAAATCGGCCTTGCGAACCCTAGGTTCTCCAGGGCTGAGGCACTGCAGTGACATCAGTTGAGCTACTTTCGCTGGTCCAATCACTCGGAGGAGGAAAGCCCAGCGCGCTGTCGGCTCACTGAGAAGCCTACCCTCAGTGCCGGGAGGGCCACGCCTTTTTGAGAGCGACTGTACCCACCGAAAGTTCGTGGCGCGCCATCAGCCGGTGCAGACAGAGGGCACGTCCGCGTCGCGTCGAGTGGGTGGGGCCGGGAGGGGCGTAGAGGGGCGGGGCGCAGTCATTGTCGCGAGTGGAAACGAGGTGTCCGGGTGTCGCGGCGCCGTTCCGGCCACTTTACGGCCGCTGGGCGCCGCGCCGTCGTCGGCCGGGCAGCCGAGCAGCCGCGCACGCGACTGCTCCCCCCCCCNNGCGGCACGCGCGCGGTGAACGTCCGCTCGCCACCCCACCCCCCCGCCTTACCCTCACCACTCCAGCCCGTAACGTTGCTGGAGCCACTATTCCAGTCAACGAAACTTAAGGCAGCGGTCACAGTGGATCCGATTTGGGCCGAAATTTCATTTGACTTGCTGGATTCGTTCAAAGCCACATCGAACCCGAACAACGTCTTCCAACAGCGTTTTCTTTCATTTTGTTTGTTGGCTCCATTGTCATCGCCGTATTACGTACAAAATTGTTTAAAACTATTTCTTTCCTTTCATTATATAAAAACACATCTATTAACTCATAAACAGTTAATTACCTACATATGTATACTCTTGAATTAACGAAAGTTCTTTTACAGATTTTTCTTGTAATTTAGTTTAATTTAAAAATTAATTTAATATAAACAATTAATTTTGTTACCTCTTAAGTGTCAATGTTCTTAAATACATTGCTTTTCATATTAATTCCGACGGTTTTTTTAAATTATCTTTAGTTTGGAACACACAGGTCTAGCCTGGATTTGTATCATGGATCTCACTTATGAATTACAAAGCATGCTGCATATACAACTTACCCATTACGTTCCAAAGTCTTCTTGGGTGTAGCAACTTATTGCTAGGGTTTTGTATTCTCCAACATTAAAGAACGAATCTTATGAATGTGGAAACCATTTCTTATGAATGTGGAACCAACAAAAAGCTATTTTTTAAAACATATATTAAAATTTACAACAGGCGCCGATCCACAGGGCGGTAAATGAGGGAAATATCCCCCATCCCAAAAAAATTGTCTGTAATTATTAATTCAAAATTGTTACAAAACCTTCACGCAGAAATATTTTCGGATAATAATTAAAATGAATAAATTGTATCGCAGAATGAGATGAGTGTAGTATGCGACATTTTACAAAATCTGCAATATGAAATGTTCCATCAAAATATTTGTAATTTACCCTTCCAAAATTTGTCTCCGAATCCGCCCCTGTTTACAATAACATAAGACTTTAAAATTTCTATATAGCTCTCCTACCTGTCACCGCTCCGCTTTCCCATCGCCCTACCGGATTCTACATCATCCTCGTGCCTTTTTGCCCGTTTCTGTCCGTCAACTGCCCGCCGATCGCCCATTTCCTTGTCAACCCGTTTACTCGCCACCCGCCAGCCTTCTCCTTTCCACTCACCTTCCCATCACCCACTCACCCTTTCGTCACCCACCTGCTTTCCCCTCACCCGCCTTTTATCACTCATCCACCTTCCCACCCAGGCATTCTAGAGTACTATCTGTGAGAGATACTAGAGACTGTGAAGGGGACACCAAACATTTGCACCAAGTAACGTTCCAAATGAAGTGCGCTGCCACGTCTACCATTCTAAACTATTTGACCTCTAATCCTAACGATTTTAAAAATATCTAATACCACCGCATTCATAATAAATCCAACGCTTTCCGAAGGCTAATAGTCAGGCAACTTCACCAGCAGACAATCAAATCCTCCCCAACAACGAATCCCACTGAATTCCACATGCACAAGTTCTTCGCAAAAGAAGACCAAAAACTAATAACTTATGGATCACTACATCAAAACTTTTGTATTACCCGATTATGAGTGAGATGACGATCAGATTGAGTTGCAAACTAATTTCCAAATAGATTTGTTAAGACGCCTTTCAATTTAATTTAGTACTAAGAATACCTTTAGAAATGACTAAAGGAAACTCTTCACGCATTCAGCCTCAACTTGATCAAATTGCTCCATTGACACAGACGTAAAACACCAAGCGCCGACATGCGAACCAGGATGACGACCTCGTCTAAACGTCGGCTATTCCCCGCCGACATAAATTAACGGCCCCCTCCTGAGCCTAAAGCAGCAACCGCGGTCGAGTACTGCTCCAGATGCCGTGCCGGAGGGACCGGAGTCGCCCAAAGAAACAAGGGACGGGTCGTCACTGCGGTGGGGCGCGGGGCGGGCCGGAGCGGACGGGGCGGGCGAGGCGGGGCGAGGCGGGCCGGCAGGGGTGGGGCGGGCGGCGCGCTGGCGGGCGGGGCGGGGCGGGGCGGGTGGGGCGGTAGGTGGGGCGAGCAGGGCGGCGGGCGGGGCGAGCGGAGCGAGGCGGGCGAGCGGGTGAGGCGGGCGAGGCGGAGCGCGGCAGGGGTGGGCCGGGCGGGCCTGGCCGGGCGGTACGGGGGGCGGGGCGGGAGGGGCTGGGGCTGGGCGGGATTGGCTGGGCTGGCGGGGCGGGGACGAACCGGGGCCCACGCGAGCTGTCAGCGGCGCCTGATGGATGCAGGCCGATCCGACGCGCGATCGCCGGCGCCGCTGACGTCACGGCGCCCCACGCCGCGACGCCGCCGCGTCGGCGCCGTTGCCACGCTTACGCCCAACAATAAACATTTTACGAGCAAGAGCGACTCGTGGGCGGAAATGGTGGTGAGGTTCTCTCCAAAAGACGATAGTAGCAAGAACTTCCGTAAAAATCTACTCATGAATTTAAACAAAATACTGTCCAATTTTAAGATTACACTAGGGAAGAAAAAAAACGATCACGTTGATTTCGAAAATCATTA